TTGAAATATAAATCTTCAAAGCTGAAAAATTCTTTTGGGACATTATTGTTAGCTTGTTTGTATATTGTGAACCTATTGTTTGTATGTTGTGACCACTAAGTTGTTCTCTGAAGAACTTCTTCTTGTCAAGGAAAACTGATATTCCAATCAAGCCCACAACTTGGGGTTGGATGCTCAGGGAAGGCTTGGGTGGGATAAGAGTATATAGCTAAATCAGGCATGGTGGCACACACTTTTAATCTCAGTACTTGGGAAGCAGAGGCAGGTGGATCTCTGTGAGTTCAAGACCAAAAAAAAAAAAAAAATTAAATGTAGTTATATATGTAGGATATTATTCTAAAAGCTTAAAAATGAAAGCAAAATTCTACCATCTTTAAAAATACCTATTTTACAAATTATTTTTATTCCATGTATACAAGTTTTTGCCTACATGTGTGTAAGTGACCAAAAAAAAAAAAAAAATTAAATGTAGTTATATATGTAGGATATTATTCTAAAAGCTTAAAAATGAAAGCAAAATTCTACCATCTTTAAAAATACCTATTTTACAAATTATTTTTATTCCATGTATACAAGTTTTTGCCTACATGTGTGTAAGTGTACCCCTGTCCTGCAATGAGCAGAGGTCAGAAGAGGGTGTCGGATCCCCCTGGAACTGGAGTTAAGGATACTTGTTAGCTGTCATGTGGGTGCTGGGAACCCGACCAGGGCCCTCTGCAGGAACAGCCAGTACTCTTTACCATTTCTCCAGTTCCAACTTCTACCCTCTTTTTTTTTTTTTTTGGTTTTTTTGAGACAGGGTCTCCCTGTAGCCCCAGCTGTCCTGGAACTCACTATGTAGACCAGGCTGGCCTTGAACTCACAGAGATCCACCTGCCTCTGCCTCCCAAGTGCTGGGATTAAAGGTGTACGCCACCCCACCTAGCAACTTCTACCATCTTAGAAACAGTGGCTTTCCTATAAATGAATCAAAGTCTAAAATATGTAATTATTCAATTGGGCTTCTTTAATTGTCTACATCCCAGAAGAAATTTGTGATGATCTGGCCACAAAACAAAGCTTTTTACATAGAGTAATCATTTTCAGGAATCCCAAAGCCACTGTGTTTGTGTTTACCCTTTCTAGTATTGTCTTAAAGAAATATAAAATACTCTGGGGAAAATGTCAAGATTTTTAGTTTGAAGAAGCTCTTAAAGAGTTAACACTTGTCCAGGGATGGTGGCACAAGCCTTTAATCCCAGCTCTGGAGGGACAGATCAAGCTGATTCTCTGTGAATTTGAGGTCAGCCTAGTCTGCATATTCAGTTTCAAGGCAGTCACCAGGGCTACATGTTGAGACCCTGTCTTAACATCCCCAGAGGAGGTAACTTCTACATATAAAAAATTCTTATGCATATAAAAAAATTCCTAAAAGGACTTGAGTAGATTCACTGCATTCTGTAGCCCTAGAGAACAAGAGCATAAACAAATACTTTAAGTATACCTTCTTTCTCTATAATCAATAGAGTGAATTCATGAATAAATAGCATTTAATTGAAATAATTAAAAACTCCAGGACCTCTGAGTATTGGTCAGTAAAGAACATGTGCTAATTTGCATGCACCAGAGGACCTGGGTTAGATCCTCAGAACCAACCAACTGACAAACCAAAGAATTCCTTAATTGCATAGTTCATTTAAATGTAATCATAATAACATTCTCCTATGTCTCAGGCTAACCTTTTAAGTAGGACATATTTATCAGAAGTATTTCGTGTGAGAAATCCATTTTCAAACTAGAAAAGTCGTACATTACTATCCAACTGTCTTCTACTGTTATCTGGTATTGTTTGCTGACCCTAGATTCCTAAAATTAGTATTTCACAAAACCCTATCGTTATTTTGGTTAAGTAATGACAAAGTTTTTAAGAATTCCAAGAGCACTTCCACTTTAACAAAGTTCATGCTATCTGACTATAGGAAATGGGCATACGAAAAAGACACCAATTTCGTTTGTCTTACCTAAGGAAAAAAATGTTTTCAATGTTATACTTCTGTCAGTTTAGCTTCTAGTAAATAAGAAAACACTGGCTCTGTCTAAAGAGGACTTTTAATCTTTGGATACGATTTCTTTTTAAAACATCTGGTTGACTCATAAATGTTAACAAAAATGATCCACAGAAGATATTATCTAAGTGGCTAAAGACACAATTCAGTTTAGCAGGATTTGACACAAGTAAACGTAGTCTTAAGTGCCTCTTTCTTACGCAAATAATACAGGTCGTTTGCATTTCCTAAGAGACACAGTCATTTTATAATATCAAAAACATTCTTGTGAAGATCTTCTCAAGAGCTCTCCATTTCTAGGTGGTCATTTTAGGGGTAAACAAGTTAACACACAATTTAAATTACTGTCAGTTAAGCAGGAAAAGGGTTTAATTTCTATGTGAAACAAATTAATTTTTCAAGTTTTAAGGCTTTTAATTGAAAACCTTTGGTAAAAATGTGGCTAACAAAAATGTATACCACTTAAATAAAAAGGCTGCAAGTTAAATGCCACAATGTACAATTATATTTAAATTAAAAATGTATTCTCATCAAGTATAGATACTTTGATAGTGTAAGTTTTAAGTATATTAAGTTACCAACAGTAAAGATCTGTAAAGATCTCATTGTATGAAAAATAAAAACTGCAAACAACATGAAACACAGTAAAATACATAATTTCTTAGTAAGTGGCAAATCAACAATGTAACCATATTAATTTTTGTACCTAACAAGTAAACACGTTCATAGTAAAATGAAAACAAATGGATCCTGTAGCTGTTACAAAGAATTCGCAGTGAAAACCTCTCTGTAGGTGCATTGGAATGTAAAGAACTAGAACTCATGCATAACTAATTCAAGACTCTAAAGAAGGTACTAAGAGGAACTTCCACAGCCTAAGGGGAAGCAAGAGCTACAGCCGGACGAAAACCACAGTAGAAAGCAGCCCTAATCACAAAAGACTTTGAAAACCGAAATGAAAATCACTAACTTAAAATTTAACATTTAATTGAAACAAAACACTTTTTCAATTTTATTAGTGGATTAAGACTTCTCTTAAGGTCATTTGTTAGTGTTAATCAAAGTTTAAAAATAGTCTAAAGCCAAAATAAACCCAGTTGAGAGCCCCCATTTCTAGTAAGGCCTACCGCGCTATAGGAAGGATGCTTAGAACAACTGCGTCCTGTTTGAGGCTCGACGCTGCACCACATTCCATTCACATGAGGACGAGGCGAACAGATGAGCCCTCCCCGAAAAACATTTTTAAATAAATCAGCTACAGTTCTCAAATACAACTCAGCTGCTCAAACAAACCATGTTAAAGCTCACTAACATTTAACAGGAAATTCATGGAGTTTATGTCTGCAGTCTGAGTTTCTAACAATCTCTGGTTAACATTTAACAATTCCTTTTTCAGGCTTAAAAAAAAAAAAAACCCTACCCCATTAACTACAAAAACACTGGTATAAATCTCAACAAAGGAAAATACTGGAGCTGAGGACAATCTGGCTACCTTTTCAGTCAAGGTCTAGCCTACAATAAAGGAAAAAGTTCGACTGGAGCTACTCGAAAGAACAAAGTCTAAATTCCCACCCAAGCAGGTCTATACAGAGAACACGACACTGTTAGAAACAAGCTGGGGGCGGGGAAGGGAATCCAGCACCACCAAAAAAACAAACCTTCACCAAACAAGAACCCTACTTCCCTTAAAACGGTGTAGTCCAATTTGAAGCATATCTGCCACAATCCTTAAAGTCTGGTTTTTGAATTAACCTTCGTAGCATTACTAAATTACTACCAACACAGTAAACCTTTCTAAACGGCTTTTTAATGTTAAAGCTAAGAACACCCAACTCACAACTACGGACGGCAAGGGCCTCGTTCGTAAGGCTGAGAAGCAAAACCAAACGTCAATGAAGACAAAGAAGAGGAAGCAGAAGATACAGACCGCACTTGGCTCCCGGCAGCTCCGAAGTCCGGAATCTCGGCGGTCCAGGCCAGGGCGGCGCAGGGCGGCGGCAGAGCCGACGTCTCCGGCCTCGGACGGAGCCCGAGCCGGTCCTCAGTCCTCGGACACCCCAGGCCGAGGCTTCCCGGCCGGCGGTTCTGGGCTCCCCGGCAGCGGCGTCATCGCACACCGGAAAGGCGCGGACCGGGGCGGCGGAGGCTGCAGCCCCACGAGCTCCGACCAGACGCCGGTCCCGGGCGGCCCAGCTCGGCGGGGCGACGCGGACTACAGCCTGCCCTTTGTCATGGGCTCGGCGGTGCCAGCGAGATGCTGCGGCTGCAGCTCCACCGCGTCCTCCGATCGGGGTCAGGGGATTGTCGCGGGGCCGCTTACATAACCGTGAGACGCTCGGGAGAGCGAGCAGGCCGAGCGCTCCCCGCCGTCCGTCCGTCCGTCCGTCCGTCCGTCCGCACCGAGCGCCGGGCACGGGGCAGCGCAAACGCCCGGCGAGGAGCTCTTGGCTCCGGGCGCGGAGGAGGAAGAGGCGGCGCTCCGTAAACTGTAACTAATCCCCCGTCACAGGTGCTGATGGAGTCACTTCCAGCACGAGTCACATTACTGGTGATTACTCATTTGGCTGCGGCCGTAGACTGGCTCATAATTTCAACAACAGACAAAGACAGACTATGGCGAGACGGAGAGCCCAAGTGTACTGACTCCTTCATAAAGCAAACCCAAATACAAAGTTTTTGCTTTCCAGATTGACCAAGGTGAAAAAGCACAAAAGCGTTAATATGAAGTCAGAAAAACTAAAGTGTAACTTTAAGCGCCCCCAAAATTACTTTGTGTATCTTCAATCAAAGGTTATATATACACGTGTGTGTGTGTATATATATAGCTTTAAAATACTCAGAAAAATCAAATTAAAAAGAATTTGAACTCGGTTCATGCCTATAACCCGTGATAAGGAAGGCAGAAGTTCAAGGATCAGGTCAGCCATCTTCAGCTACAGAGTGAGTTGAAGAACAGCCTGGGCAAAGACCCCCCCCCAAAAAAACCAAACAGAAAATAAGAAAGGAAGGCTGGGGGCAGGAGGAAGAGGGACTGAGGGAAGAAGGGAAGGAGGGAGGAAGGGACTGAGGACACTGTGTGGGGGTGGTTCAGGCCTCTAATCCCAGGACACAGGTGATTGCTCTGAGTTCAAGGTCAGCCTGGTCTAGCAAAACCCTGTCTCAAACAAGAACAAAAATTTGAGGTAACAAAGTGAAATAAAACAACACAATCTCAGAAGCACTTTATTAAAAAGGAAACTGGTAAAATATATTTTGGTGGATTTAAAACTGATGAAACATTTTCATTATTTATAAAAATGTAATTATGCTATAATTTGAAAGCATAAACTACTCTTTCTAATCTTGTGATTGTTGTGTGTGAGGGTGTACAGCCCACACATGAAAGTCAGAGGACAACTTTGGAAATCGGTGCTTTTCTTCCCCCTTAGGCTGTAGAGAGGAAACTCAGCTTTCACTAGCAAAGTCATCTCCCTGGCCCCTTCTGAAGTTTCTTAACCTATATTTAAGATCTTCCTGCTTCTGCCTCCCATGTACTGGTATTAAAGGCATGCCATACCAGCTTAACATATATTCTTAACTTCCATGGAAAATCTAGAATTACACTGTCCAAGCATATATGACTACTGAGCATCTGAAATTTAGTTAATGTGAGGTAAGATATGTGCTGTCTGGACAAAATACACACTGAGATGGAGCTAAGATGCATCATAAATTCATACTGATTACATTTGAAATAATATTTTGGAGCTGGGTGTGGTGGCTCACACCTTTAATCCCAGCACTTGGGAGGCAGAGGCAGGTGAATCTCTGTGAGTTCAAGGCCAGCCTGGTCTTCATAGTGAGTTCCAGGACAGCTGGGGCTACAGGGAGACCCTGTCTCAAAAAGACAAAAAAAGAAAAGAAAAGAGGAGGGGAAGGGAGGAAGAGAAGAGAAAAGGAGAGAGAGAGAGAGAGAGAGAGAGAGAGAGAGAGAGAGAGAATGAAATAATATTTTGGTTATATTGGTTTAAAAAAATGTAATTCTGTGTGATTTTTATTTTCCTTTTTTCTTTTTTGGTCTTTTTGAGACAGGGTTTCCCTGTAGCCCTGGCTGGCCTGGAACTTGCGATGTAGACCAGGCTGAAGAGGAAGAGATGGGCAGTGAATGTCCAAAGTATGTAACTAAAATACAGTTCTATCTATAACACATGGGCTGTGCTAAAATATAACACCTTACATACAGACCATGAAGGGTACAAAAACAGAACTCCACCATAAAGTACTTTAAATAATGCTGTCAAGTAAAGATTGAATCACAATACACCGTCCTAATAACTCACTGATAACCACCTGGATATGCACAGAGAAGAGGGAAAGTAAAAACTCCGGTCACGTAAGTTGCAGAGGGAAACCACTGCAGTGATATGGCGACCTCGTTCTGAGACTTGCCAAAGAGAGAGACAGCAAACGCTTAATATTGCTTAGTATTATTTTAATTATCAAAATTAAGTATATTTTATACTACATTTCTACAATGTACTGTACACAGTAGCATGAGTTTAGTATTTCACAAGATCCATCTTGTAATACTGCAGTATACACTCAGGTTTGATTATATTTGACACAGGCTTTTAAAAAAAGACTATTTGTGCCAGACTAGGTGGTACTGGAGAGGTGGAAAGATCTCTGTGAGTTCAAGGCTAGCATGGTCTATGTAACAATTTCTAGGACAGCCAGAGATACAAAACAATAATACTGTCTCAAAACAACAATAGCAGGAACTATCTTTGTCCCCCTTTTTTCTCTTTATTTTATGTGTATGCGTGTATTGCCTGCATGTAGGTAAGTGCACCCGTGTCCTGCAATGCCCTCAAGGACAGAAGAGGCCATCGGATCCCCTGGAACTAGAGTTACAGAGAGTTGTTAGCTGCCACGTGGGTGCTGGGATTCAAACCCGGGTCTTCTGCAAGATCAACCAGCGTTCTTAACCACTGAACCATCTCTCCAGCCCTCTATCTTTGCCCCTTGAGTGTTATCAGACCTCTCCCATCCCACCAAAAAGATCAACAGCACACAAAAAAACTCACATTAACAATCCAATTGCCAGCAGGGTATGGTAGACATGCCTTTAATCCCAGCACTCAGGAGACAAGCAGGTGAACTTCTGTGAGATGGAAGCCAGCCTGACCTACATAGCAAGTTCCAGGCCAGCTGGGGCTAGAGAAAGACCCGCTCTCAAACAAAACAAAACACCAATTGCTACAAGTCATATATTCCTAGTAAAGAATGTACTATTACTTAAAATCAAAGTGATTAACATCACTGAGAAAACATTCATTTAAAAAAGATATTTCAAATTATATCATGGTCAAAATAAAGCAAAAAGGCCTCTATTGAGATACTAACTGGTCAATTCTTGAAGCAAAACAAGGGTGTATAGAAGTACAACCAACTGGAGGCATGGAATGCTTAACTGGGCACTCTGACATGTTTGCAAATATATTAATGTGAGTTTGTTGTAGAAATCTGGCAGATTTCTAGCACACAAAAATAATGAAATAATGATATAGAAACTTGCTAGGTTTTATACCAAGTCTCCTTAATTCTCTCTTGTTCCTAAAGCTGATTGGGGAATGGATGACCCCAAGTTTCAGACGGAAAAGTATCCATTTGTTTTTATGGCTCATGTCTTCCTTACTGGATTAAGGAAGGAAAGTAAAGAGTTAATTTCTTTTTCTATTTTTTGGTGGGTGTAGAATGAGAGGGCTTTTCTGGCTGCTAAACTAGGCTAAAGGAAGAGGAAACTACTCCAGTTACTGCCCAGAAATACACATCTCTGACTTCCTTCCTTTTTAGTTGGTTTCTAGGTTACAAGCTGAATAAATCAACAGAGGTGAGAAAGTAAACAGAGGCTAAAAGGAACACAACACTGTCTGGCTTTCCAAAGAAAATCTGTTCTTTCCAATAATGTGATAATGCTGTGAGGGCAGTTAAGGGTTAAACAGGCATTTCAGTTACATTTTAGCTTGGCCTATAAAAGGAAACTCCTCACCTTTAAACATATGGAAGACTGTAAGCAAACCTGGGGATTTCACCAACTATGAAGACAAAAGCAAAGAAAGAAAGAGAAGAACAACAAACAAAAACTTCTAGCAGGGAGAACATAAAGGCTGGTGCTGGGGAGGAAACCCAGAATTTCTCCTGCTCCATGGCCTACAATGACTGATTTTGGGAGGAAAAGAGGGCATGTGAGCAGGAAAAGAACAGATGAATGAACACTGACCAGAGGGACTCAACTTGATATGGACTTTGCACAGCTAACTACATTCTGAAAAATATTTTTCAATAAGGCATATTTTTCTATATATCTATGAAAACACAAACACAAAATTTCTGCGTCATGCTAATATCCAACGGATAAGTATTGCACTGATCAATCTATAAAAAGGGTGTATCAAAGCCTCATACCTTTAGTAGGCCAAGTTCTAGCTACATTGTATTTTTAGAAGATATACAACTCTTCTCACTTTTCAATAGTTTCCCCTACTGTCTAATGGAACGGTTCAGCAGTTAAATCACTTGCCATGAAGGCAAGAGGACCTGGATGCAGATCTCCAGAATGCCGTAAATGCCAAGTGAACACAGCAGCTGGCCTGTAACTGTAGCCGCTGAAGGTGGAGCTGGGATCTGGAGTAAGCCATCTACTTAGCCACACTGGCAAGCTCTGGGTTGCCTCAAAGAATGAGGTGGGAAAGCAATCAGGGAGGATTCCTCACATCATCTTCAAGCCTTCACACAGACGTGCACAGGCATGTGAACATGCATACCCACACCACACACAGGGGAAAAAAGACAGGGAGGGAGGAGAAAAAACAAAGAAGAAAACTAAATTCCCTCTCTCCCTTAAGACAAAGCACACTGAGTGAAATTTCAAGAAATACATGTGGGATGTCTTATGAGCTTACTCTGAGGATATATACAACAGTAAATTAAAGACAGCAAATTCCTATCCTTCCACAATTAATAGTATTTTCAGAAGGATATTAGTAATCATAACACAAAATGACCATTGTTAGAAATCAAATGAAGAATTAGTTTATACTCCCCTCCTTTTCTTACACCCTTGATAACAGCCCAAGTCATTCGAGACCACCAACATATATTTTGTAGCTCTGCAGACATCTAGTCAAAGATTTATGTTGGCAATGTTTTAAAACTCTACCCCTTCTAGACTTTCTAAGCACTAGTAAGACACATACTGAAACCCTCGAGTTACTGTACAAGTCTGTCATCTCAGACTTCTCTTTCAGAATTACCCTGATTAGTCTTCTTTCCACCTAATGCTGAAATTTTACTTAAATTTCTTTCATTACCCCTTTGCAGGCTGTGGCAGTAAGATGACCAGTAATCCCAGTA